ACACACACACACACACACACACACACACACACACACACACACACACGCACACACGCACACACGCACACACGCACACACGCACACACGCACACACGCACACACGCACACACACACACACACACACACACACACACACACACACACACACACACGCACACACACACACGCACACACGCACACACACACACACACACACACACACACACACACACACACACACACACACACACACATACACACACACACACACACACACACACACACACACACACACACACACACACGCACACACACATATATATACATATATATTTATACATACATACATACATACATACATGTACATATATATATATATATATATATATATATATATATATATATATATACATACATATATATATATATATATATATATATATATATATATATATATATATATATATATACACACACACACAGACACACACACACACACGCACACGCACACGCACACGCACACGCACACGCACACGCACACGCACACGCACACGCACACGCACACGCACTCGCACACGCACACGCACACGCACACGCACACGCACACGCACACGCACACGCACACGCACACGCACACACACACACACACACAAACAGACAAACAAACAAATAAGCAAATACTCTGACTTCCAACTGCATTGTAAAGTTACCTCTCCTATAAAAAAAACACCACCCGCGTATTTAGACAGATTACACAATCAATAATAACACACACACAAAAGTACACCTAATGACAATGGAGACACATAAAAAACAAATAAAAAAAACAACAAATAAATTAATAAAACTTTAATCGCCATAAATAATTTTGGTCCAGCGGTCTCTCCCTCGGGCTCCTATCTCGGCCGGACGCTGAGGTTTGTTTGGGTGAGAGACTCGTCCAGTTTTATTTTCTCGAATTTATGTCATATTTCTAGCCCTTTTTAACTCTTTCATTGGGTATTTTTGGGGTATTTTACGGGAGATGTTAATGTCTAAGAAGTGGGAAGAACGTAGGGGTTTTATGAGAGAGGAAGAAGAGGAGAAGAGGTAGAGAAATAAGGAAGAGAGGTTTGGTGAGGTTGTTTTTTGAGGTTGGGGGTGTTTGTTTGTTTGTGTTTGTTTTTGTTTTGTTTGTTTTTTTCTCTAGTTTTTTGGTTTTTTTTCTGTGAGTATAGGTATTTGTTTTCGACCCAGTGAAATAAGGAAGAGAGGTTTGGTGAGGTTGTTTTTTGAGGTTGGGGGTGTTTGTTTGTTTGTTTGTGTTTGTTTTGTTTGTTGGTGTTTTTGTTTATTTGTGTTTGTTTGTGTTTGTTTTGTTTGTTGGTGTTTGTGTTTGTTTGGGTTTGTTTGTATTTGTATTGTTTGTTTGTTTGTTTTTTCTGTAATTTTTATTGTTTTTTTCTGGGTATTTGTTCTCGACCCTGTGTTAGTGGCTGTTGCCGTGTCACTTCATTTTGTACAGTATAAGGGGGTGTTATTGTTTTTTTTGTTTTTTTTTTCCTGGTCAAGAGTATATAATGACATTCATTTGTTTGTTGTATAATGAGAAAGTAAATTGGGAAAGGAAATCAGTAACCTCACAGTGACTCAAGTGGCTGCCATGATACCTTTGGTGTCCTAGGAAAGACTGTGAAGCCAGCTATAAAAGTGTTTTGTAAAAGAATGAGGAAAAGAAGAGTTTTCTGTCAAGAGGAGAAGGCTGTCTGACTGCATAGCTTATGTCTTCATCGTGCTGTTTATTAAGGAATGTAGTTGAGGCTGCTTAAAGCATTGGTGTTGATGCTTGGGCTTGAGCCTAAAGATTGGCTGTCAAGTATGTGTTGAATCACAGATAAAACAAATTCATTAATTGAAGAAGATATAATATATTCAAATATTATTAACCAATATATCTTCAGCCAAAACTTTGCAGTAACCAGACAGTAGTAGGTCCAAGATTATTGTAATTGAAAATTTGTTTTGAATATGCAAAAAAAGTTCAAGAAAAAGTATGCTTCTGCCAGAATGGCATAAGGAGATTATAATGAATAATTGTTTTCAAAGTGACTGTACCCCCTTCAGACTAATTGCCTATTACTCCGACCAGCAATCTCATGGTAGTACTTCTGGGAATCCACAAACATGGCTATATGAACTGAAAACTTTCCTGACCTTGTGTCATTGGTCTTGGATCCCCAGCCAATTGCCATGGACTTGCACAATTTATTTCATACATCATTGAGTAGTGTCCTTAGAGTTCCCTTAGCTTAATTAGTCAGTATGTAAATGTATACCTTATTTAGTATATTCAGAAGCATTTCATTCAAATCAGCAAATATAATGGATCTGGAAATGAAAAAAATCTTAGTCCAGCGAGAATCAAAGCAAATATAAGTTAAGAGACTTGAGCAAGACGTGATCATCTTAGGGTTGCAGATGTCAAAATGCATATTTTTTCTTACTAATGCGAAATGGCACTGAAATGCTGGTAGCAGTATGAACTTTCAAGCACAAACTGAGCAGTGAGCTTTAATTTTGTAATGTCTTATGCCACTATTACTGTATTTGTTATATCAAATATATCTCAAAAAATAAAAAAAAAAGGCCTTTATTATTTGCTGTAATGTTCTTGAAGAGCACTGCCCTAGATTACATACAAGCCATTGCTATAAAACATACCCAGAACAGGGGTTTCGTTTTCCTTGTCTTTTATCCTCTTTGAAGGAAAAAAATGTTTACCCACATTTTGTATACACTGGTTGTTTAATTGTTTAATATTTTAAAAGGTACAGGTTAGGGATGACAGTATATATAAAAAAGTAACCATATTCTACAAAGTTCCTTATTATTAA